ACATCCTGAACGAAACCAGAGTGAATCTGGTTTGTTATTGTGTAGCTTCAACTGGTTCACTGTGAGTTTGGAACATTTGCGATGGAACTTACCTAGGCAACTGCTACACTGGATTCTGATCGGTACATTTTTATGGCATGAAGGAAGGTCACAAACTACGGTCGCTTTGAATGCGGTAACATGAGCTTTTGCTTGGTCGCCACAATCCTTTGTGTCGATCAATGGGATTCCCATAGGTGCCAAAGCGCTTAGGGTTTCCTGCCGGTCGCGTGTGCGCGGAATTGTTTGCATGTTCAATGTCCTCATTTCTTTGCATCTGGCCCAGGCGGGGCAGATTTAATTGGCTAGATCTTTCACGCGGCAAAAGAAGCGACCGAGCGATACGGCCATAAAGTGTACGATAGCTACTTTGATGATCAATCCACGGCTGTGGTTGCTGATTCGGCAGACGAAACGTGTAGTTGGCTTTTGGTTGAGACCACAAAACTTTCTATGTGGTTCGTGATTCGGAAAATTCCTCGCATGTGTTTTTGCGGGAATGGCGCGAAAACCGCAATGTGGAGATAAAAGGCGATCCACACAAGCTAGATCCGAAGGATGGAAAGCACTAGCTCGCGCTGATGAATCTGGGTCGAATGAGTGTGAACACTCTCTTGCGTGACAAAATTCAACTGATAACGGCGGCAAAACAAGGTGTTCAAAGATGAGCGATTTGGTCGCATTTTCAATGTCTTCAGACACGACAAATCGTATATATTCGCTGATGACATTAAAAGTATTCATGAGTTCGATTCGGACAATCTAAGTAGCGTCCTAGCTCACATCCAATCGGATCTGTACCTGCTGCGAACTTGGTACAGCAACTGGAACATGGAACTCTCATTCCAGAATTGCAGCTCCAAATAGTATCGGTGCAGTATTAAACCAAATTCTTAGACGGTAAAACCCTGTCCACTTTTCGCACGATTCGTGAAGTTGTGCTACACTAAGAGATCTCCTTCAATTTCACTGAACAGGTGCAGTATACTATTGCAAAAGCCCGTAAACTAGCGCTAATACTAAAGCTTTTATTTTGTATAAATCCAAAATCTACCTATATAAAACTCGTATTCCTTCCTTATGAGAAAAAATTCCTCATTAATATACTCCAGCGTGGGGAGAAGTGACGGAACGGCAAAAGAAAATGTACTGTACTCCTTTATGAATTCTCTAATTCGAATGTCTGCTACAATTTCACGATTGATATGATACACAAACGCGTCATTAAGACATTGAGGTGGTACTTCAACCTTCTATCAAGTAAACTATAAGGAATAACCATAACATGTTACAAATCGAAAAATCACGTATTTGCTTAAGGGCAAACATCTTTCCTAACCGCCTCACAGCTACGTTGAACAAGTTGCCGCAGAATTTGGGAACATGCGGCTCAAAGGGGTTTCCCGTACTCCAGCAAACAGAGAATAGATAATGTGTAAACTGAGAGACATACTCAATGTAGAGATGCGTATAACCACATTGTATGAGGAAGGGCCGAGTGCCATATAGCAAATGGCAAAATTCCCTGAGTTGAAGTCAACCCACCTCTACCATATCTTTCTTCCGTATTCCTAACGAATTCCTCCTTTGTCCGGAGGTAATAACACAAACTACGGAGTGATTACTGAGATCCATCTATATCAATTCCTACACACGTCGACCGCCCCAAGTTTTGGAACAATTGAAAGATCTACTTGGAACCATTTTTTATGAACAGCTTAAACACAAACTGTTCTTGATGATCCAATTGCGAAATCTGATCAGATAAACCACATGGTCAGTCTCTGGTGCTACCGAGATATTAATTATTTTTATGTTGTTTGCTTATATTTCACTATTTATAATCGTACTGTAATATTAATTATTTCTTCTTTCCCGGAGACGACAGCCCAGGAACAGATCAAAAGTCTCCTTGCTTAGCAATATCAATTTCTATATTTTCATACAGCAAACAAGTAATATTGAACCTGACAACTATTTTCCGTACTATCTTGCATATAAAGAATTCTAGCAGTCATCGGTGTTCGACACTTCCTTTTACAATTTGAGCCATCAGTCTACCTTGCGTAGAAGCAAAACATGCTATTTCCTTCCCACTTACCATTACTGTTTGCATCCTTCTACATCTATATCTATTATTTTACTATGCTGGGTGAAAAATTTTTGCGTTGCACCCCCTACGTCTCTCCAGGTGGACTAAGATAACAGGAAAGATAGGACACTGTGCATTGCTTTATATTCCCCATTACCTAGGCCCCACCTGCCACCTTGGTTGTAGCACACAAAGGCAACAAATGCACGCAAATTCCTCGAAACATATAGAAATGGTTTAGTTCTACAGAAAAATTAAATATTCATTTCAGCAATGAGTCATTCCCCCCGAAACGAAGTCCACACTATCACGTGCAGTTGTATGCTAAAGCCAACCTTTGGTATTGCAATAAACCAGCCACAAATTCTCAAGCGTCCACTGATAATATTGTAGCGACAGAACAACGCGGCAATGAAGCACGATCTTTATTGGCGAGAACACACACACCACCTTAGCACCCACACACGCGCACATTAATGAGTCAGGTTTCTTTCCCATGTTGCACCATCCCTCCTGGCCTCCGTTCGTGGCACTTCTATGCCCCTTCTGGGGGTACGGGAAAGCATCTTCTATGTCCCTTTCGCCCGGGTATCTTCGCTTCCATTCCTCTGATTCTGACAATCGCGGAGTAGTTCGATAGCGTGCGCTTTGCTTGACCGTGGGTGTATCACTCTCGCCGGGGTTATTTCTTGAAGATGCGATACCGGCTGTTTTGTCCGATTTATTGCATCTTCAACAAATTCTCCACCTGCTTTGCCTGCCTCGGGCTCACCCACGGATGCCGCTTCTGGCCCCTTTTTCGTCCCGTTCTATTGGGCCTGGGTTTCTCCAGCAAATCGCCCCCATTGCATCGGTCCCCCAATGCATCCGCCTCCGTTTTAATGATCTAACCGTCCTTTTGGCAAGCGCTGCCTTCCGCCTCCCTACAATATGTCTTGGACTGCAAGGGAAGTACCAATGACCTACGTCGGTCATTTTGCCGAAACGTCTAGAGCACAGTTTCATCGCCCAGGCTATTTACGCAAGTTATGCTACCAACCATGTTTAACCATATCTCATTTACGGCCGCATATGTTCTGAATGGGCCAATGTATCTGTGCGAGTTTACCTATCCTGCTGATAACGAGATCAGCCATAAAGCACTGCAGTTGGCTGGCTATGAATGTAGCTCAACCGCTATCGCAGTTTTTAAACCATGTCTCGGCGCGATAAGGCTTTCAGCGAATTGTAATCACGAAATTATCACTACCGTTCAGAATGTTGGAACTCGCGCAGCTCCTGCGAGCTTTCCGATAAGAATATTGTTGGTGTCTTATAAAGGCGTGAATGTTAGTATAGTAAAAAGTAGCGCATTACCTGGAGAAATGCAACGTCATCGTACCAGCTCAGCATAGATTCTGTGAAAACCAGTTTTCACCACTAAACTGTTACTTACTATCTCAAGTTGGACTGAAAGAGTATACGTCGTTTTGAGAACTGACGTGTTTCCTCTAAAAATTCTCAAAAGGTTTCGACCTGCTGATTCATTGTATTCAGCTTCACAAACCTTAGAGCCATGCAATTGGTGATCTGGTCCTAGGTTGAATAAGTAACCTCCGTTTTCAACTGCAGCTAAACATAGAAGTTTGCAGCTCCAGATTCGACCGAAATGCAATTCTCCGCAAAGTGCTTCAGGACCCAGGTCTATTCTAGACTTACTTATGCAATTGCGCGAGAGTGATCACCTCAAAGTTCCTATTCTCAGTTGATGATCCCAAGATATGGCTGTCCACCAGCATAACAGGTGACCACGTAAGACTGCAAGGCGATCTCGACTGAGTGTAAGTGTGAGCATTTCAGAACCTCCATTTCAACTTAGATTACATGTAGGACATTTAGCATACCTTGTAAATACACATAGGGCATAGGCTGGGTGATCAACGTGGGCAGCGCGCTTCCACTGAATGCGATCTAGAAGAGCTGACGCCAGGCGGTCCTAGCTGTTCAAATCAGGTCGGAAAGTGTCCAAAAGGCCAATTAATACTTTGGCATATGGCATAGCACATCCGGGTGATATAACCCATTTACTTTCTCCAAGATACTAAACGGCTATGTTATGTTTCCATCAGCGCTTGGCCAGCCTGCTAAATGCGCGAAAATGTCGCACTCGAAATCCCACAAGGGAGGGTGAGCAAAAATGTTGACATGTTCAATTTTCCTAAAGCACTGAGAGTGAAGCCCTGTAGTCTGCATAGAACATTGTCGGCGACTGCTTGGTGATGCGGTATTGATGTATCAGGTCCTAAGAAATCCCAGCTACTTTTGTCGTCACGTTCTGAAACTGAATCAGGTCACTCTGTGAAGCCTTCTGGTCAAGCTGACCGCCCAGTATAGTTGATTGGAATATTGTCGATTTCGCCTTTTTCGTCATGTCTGCCAAACTTGCAACGCTCTCTCTGTTTGCTTTGTTTCTTCCCCCTCCCCCCCCCCCAATACCTGCATTCAACAACTTGACGGAGCATTCGAATATTTACATTACCGTTATGGTTAGGCATCATGGTAACACGAACAATTGGGATTCTCAGTTTAACTTCCTGGTGAGTCCACTTATACTCACTTAACTTGGCCAGACTTTGATTTTCGAGTTATCTAATCTTCCTCCCTACGTGACTTGTCAAATATTAGTTTTAGTCAATCACTAGCTCACTGTCTCCAAGTATTCCATTCGGGGTGAGAGGTGCGATACACCGACTTGGCAGATCAGTTATAGATCACGCCATCAAAGTAGCTGAGGGTAAACTGACGGATGCAGAGATTCACATCATTCGCAAGGCAAATACGCTGAGCCGTTTGCCGGGTCCCAGACATAAAAAGCATTCGGTTCACTCACTTTGAGGGGAAGTACTTCCTTGTTTACTTCAAAATAGGCTGCCATTGCCTTGGTCCAGGAGCACAGCCCTGCTACGTCCCCGCAGACTCGCTTGGCCTGCTCCATGTTGAAATCCTCCATTTCCAGATAAGGGCGCATTAATTCGATCGTTTCTTCATTTATGGTGTCCTGCGAGATTAAAGCGCACAAAACGGCTTGAGACTGTGTCAGAATGGATTCACCATTTTATTGTGGGTTGTAGTCGCGAAAATACTGATGTGTAATAGTTCGTGAAAAATCGCCATCATTACTTTATTTTAATCTGACTACAACAAAGAGTCTTTACAAGTAAAACGACATCAAGCGCGAATAAAAGTAATCACGTAAGCAGATTATGCACAGGTTCGTTCCCTTTGAGTCATTGATTTACTCAGTTGCAGTAGTTGGAATGCCGAGTACACATGATTGCTCTTGGTTGTGTAGTTAAGCGAAATGAGTAGACTTAGACACATTTTGACGCTCAAATATGGCTGGCGTTTATAACCTCAAAAAGGCGACAAACTTGCACCGACTCATGTCTCACAATACTTGCAATAAGCAAGTCCCTAACCAAAAAACAGGTCAGCATCCATCTACTTTTCGAATAGTTGCCATAGGTAGGGCATCATACAGCAGATTACATAGTGACCGATATACAATTCCAACCTAACTTGCATTCCTCAATAAACAGTTAGATGGCACATGAACTTAATGGAAGCGGATTCACTAAGCTACTACCGAAGGTCAATTTCTGTGAACAGACTCCCAGCTAGCTAGATTATCTGCATGAGGGAGATCAAGATGAGAAATCTCAACACCTATGGTTTCTGTTTAAAAGGGATTCGGCACTGCTAGCATATGCACAAGCAGTCATTAACCGCAGTGGCCAGCGTGGCCCACCGCGACTGGGTGGATTAGGGGTTGACTTTTCTGCTTATATCCCGAACGCCCCGATTCGAGCTCCTGCGATCTCCACCTACTGAGATGACTAATGTCGAAGTAGCTCATGGGGTGCAGTTGTCTGTCGGATAGCAATTATATCCATCTGTTTTGGCAGTCACAGTCTCAGTGATCAAATTTACCAAGGTTCATTTCAATGCGCACCGCCGTCAACATTGAGATTGCTGGTCGCAATCTACTCACGAAACAAGTGCTTTAGAATGCCCCCTGTGGCCTTGGTGGTATCCCGGAGGGTAGCTAACTATGAAATCTTAGTGTGCGTGGGGATAGCGGTTGGTATTGTTCCCCAGTGGTACGCGAGAATGCAGTGAATGGTGTGGCCAAATGCACACCTCATTGCGAAAGCTGTTGTGTGAAGGGACAGTCCACTCACAAGGCCCACAAAATCAGTCAGCTGTGCCATAGTTATTTGATTTAGCGGTCGATGTGCACATTCGGGCAGCGTGCAGCAATATCGACGGGGTTGGTGAAATTAATAACCGCTGATTGCCACGTAAGTCGAATCGCTTATAAACACAGCGCACACAAACTGGTAGGTAGTTCTATCAACACAAACTAACACCGAGGCAAGACCTAAGTTAGCAAACTTGTCCACCTTGTCCCTTCATAAGGGATCTTCGATATTATTTCGCAAATACCAGGAGCCAGCAAACATTCATGGAACAACCAGATTGTCCACGTCTGTATTAAGTGGTAGAACTGGGCAAACCTTGCCGCAACTTACCTTCGGAAAGTTCAACAGGCCATTGAGAAAGTTGGCACCACCCATCAGTTTCAGTGCTTCACCCCACGAGGGTTTTGGACAAGGATGTTCTGGATCGGGGATGACTCGGTCCATATGCTTTCGGAACAGAAGCAAAACACAGTCCATGATGCGCATGATCAGATGGGGCGGCTTCCCCAGTTTCCGCACTATCGTGGATGGGGTTTGTAGACAATAGAGTAGAACACTTTTGACTTGCTACCGCTTTACGTAAATCCACGACAGCTATCAGCAGTGCACAAAATATTTTACTAAGTAGGTTCGATTGAACCAGATAGGTGTAGGGAAGAATAATTAAGCAGAAGGCTAGAAGAAAAGTTAGCACAAAAGCTACTTATTTTCACTCAACATTCTATCTGAATCAAGACAGATACTCGGCTTCGCATATCCATGTGCAAGTTGTAAAAGTAGCACACTCCTAAAATGGTGAGTTACTTCAGAAAGTTGAATAACTAGTGGTTGCTCCATCCCATTACCTACACAGAGATCATATATTTCCTGCCTATTTCACTGAAAAGCTGCATGAATAATAACCACTAAAACGGCTAAAATCTTTCGACAATACTACTCGCGACATCACGGAAACAAAAAAGTAGATAATAAAAATTCAAAGGGGAAAGATTGATGGCTGGTAAACTGTCTGTGGGAAAACCAGCCGAATTTTACCGTTCCCGTGGAATGCAATGCAAGGCTACTAAAAACTCAAAACTTTAGAGGTTCGCTAGTAAGGTGCTCTCGCTCAAACAACGGATATCGGCCTGCCAAACCACGCCGGCCGCTTCAGAGATCTCTCTCTGTTACAGCTGCGGGCAAATAGTTTTGAGTATGACTCTTAAGATTTGTGACAGAGTACTTTGTTTAGCCGATCCATCATGTAGTGAAAACCCAGAGTAGCAGCATGTATACAGGAAAAAAGTATATTTTCGTTTTAATGGCAAAATACCAGTATTATGATAGCCAAGTTGCCGATAAACAGCAGCTTACAGTGTAGCTGCTTTTATCCGTATCGTTTAAACATAACCGAGTTTATATCTTGAGTCCAGTCGTTCCGTTTAAATTACCATGGAAAATATCTCACCTCAAACTGTACACATCTCGCAAGGACGTAGACACTTACGAACAGTTAGTCCCAGAAGCCTTGTCCCTTTTTCTCTGTTACTTGGGGGCCAAGGGTCACGCCTTCGGGTGAGAGCAAAGCGCACTAAATTACCAACTGTCGTATGTTAGATGTTGGTCTACTTCAAAATGTCTCTCACCCGGTCGCATGGGTTTGAACGACCGGAGTGATAGCCGTATGCCTGCTTCTGGGTACAGGTGCACTTGCCAGTCGCGTCCATCGTGCAAGGCTGGATGGCCGCGGACGGTTGAGCTGAAGTCAACTACGGCATGCCACAGAACAAGTTCACCGATCGATACATACTGTGTTCCGGACTGGTTGGCACTAATGCAGGCGTGCAAAATCAAGACAACATTGCATCATTACGGCCTACTGCGGCAGATTTGTGGTGGTGCTTGGATGGGCCTAAATGACCTGAGCAAGGAGTATTCAATAGGTGTTTAGTGTTTTCCCAGTTAATGACAAAAGGGTTATTGTCAACGCTGTTGTAAACTGAAAGGTAGCTTCCAATAACCCACTTTGGCAAAATTGGCCCTCCTTACAATTAGACCTTGCAACTATGAAACGTAACGTTTTAAGAAAGGAGTCTTGCAAAGCTATGCCGCCTACAAACTACTCGCTACCGCATAGCCTATTATTCAGTCACAGTCTTTAGTGTTCATTCCAACCTATTCACTAATGAGGCACTAATGAGGATTACACCGGCGCTGACGTTTGACCTTGAACAGTGTGCAACTTCGTCCATGAACTGCTCACGACCTTAAGCAGTCTTGTGCTCTTGAAACTCATGAAAGTTAGGACCTTCGGTCGTTTTGTATTCGTACACTACACGAGTTGTAGGGCTCAGTGAGGAAAGATCACTCACAGCATTTATTGGTGGATATCAAAGAAATGGAGAATTAGCAAATTACGCTGCAGTAACACAAATACAACCCGAGTGGAGAATGACTACGAATATGTTCTGTTATTCTTACGAATATTGTTAACAAGACACCATAGTGGTTGACGGTCTGCTGAAAGCTTCTGAAGCATGGTAGCCCGTTTTGAATATGTAGGAGAGATGTTTTACATGCGTTTGAGTTTGTACATCAGATGGGATAAATAGGAAACACACAGCGGCTGGTTAAGTGAAGTGACGGAATCGACTTCACATGAGCTGGGGATCCACACTTCGGTGTTATCATCGACGGACTGAAAGGAAGAGACTCCTTGAGGCGGTTACTAGCAGATGCGTTGCGAAACAGCAGGTTGGCTCTTGTTGTTAGCCGTACACGTAGTGACAAATGGTACCAAATCCATTCATCTGGTCACTATGTGAGTTCCTATTTCGGTAGCTAAAGAAAGTATTGAAATTGAAGCTTGTACAATGTATGCTTTCATTATCATTTAAACGATGGCAAAACATGAGCACTGCAATGAGTTTGGCCACTATCTCAGTTTGCCTCACCTAGGTATGCCGCGTAATAAGCGCACATCAATGGAAGGCTGCTACCTGAGTGACAGTCGAATTCAGAGCAATTGTTTTGTTGTAGACAGCAGAGTACTGCATTGAATGTGACAGGTTTCGTGCTTTGTGTTAAAGTAGAACAGAGGGTTTGGGGTGCTGTTACTTTCGTGCGCAACCCAATAGGTTCTCTATTCGAGTAAAGTTTTGTCGCTGATAATCAACACAAGGTTAAAAAAAGCTTAATCTGCAGTGAAGCAACCCCATACCTTGTAACATCCTGTTTAGTTACTATGTCGTATAAAACCGTTGCGTCTGAACTAATGGTTCTGCACAACTGAGTTCCCACCATCTCACAAACAGTACACTGGTTGGAAACAAAACCAACTACTATTGGCTGCTGCTCAGTGCTGATTAATTTTTCGCAAAACGTTTATATCCCTAGATAATTCAGTAGAAACATGTAGTCGACATCTGTGAATTGATAGATCTTGAAGGAACTGAAGTCCACTATCCTGTAGTAGCGGAGTAAAACACATGAGGAGCCTCATGGCTCCAATCAGAGACGATATTTTGCGAACAAACACGCCTTGGTCAAAACAGCGGTTCTGTTTAATGGACTACGAGCGGCGACTCGACGCAGTACATGCACGTTCATCCGTTAGCGTTGAATGATCTGAATGACTCTCCTTTTAATCTAGTCGTGTGCACGAAGAGTTTCATAAAGCTGTCTTCCGAATCACAGCCAAATCAGCACAACTGATTGGACTAAATATGTGGGTTGGCTTGTGAGGTAACCCACACCCACAGTGAACTAACCGGTGTACTTGCAAACGCGTTTCATGCTATTATGTTCTAACTACCTAGCTAAGTAACTATGGTAAGGGAGTGCCATGAACATAAGTAAGGCACACACACGATTCCCAAAATCTGAGCATTTTGCCACAACACGAGTGGGCTACACATGCGGTGAACGGCGTTTTAGCTCTCCCACTTAGGGGATCGCGCGAGTTAAGTGCTTAACGGACACGTAAATAGATATCTAACTGGTGAGGCGGCACTGTATCCATCCACAATCGTGCAACAAGTAACCTGTCAATTCGCATGACTTTCACCCCAGCCATCCTACGGGACTTGTCAAGCGCCTGGATTTTACCTGTGACAAACCATAGTTCAATGTACAAAAAAGCGTGGTTGAGATCGGTCGTTGGCGCATTTGAGTACTTAGCCCCAAGATGAAGGTCCGAAGCAAAAATTGCCACGTGAACAACTCCAGATGTCAGTATTTTCTCTCCTAAGCCTGCAAGTTTGTACAACAAGATTAGACGGTAAACGTATGAGGTGGCTAGCCAACAACCTGATTCGTCTCATATTTCTGAAAATTTAAATTAAAATATTGATCGTTAGCGCACCTCACATTAATCTAAGTTACTTCATGATGCTTACCTGTTGAAATATGTGTTGGCTTAATCGTTTCCAGAGCAGCCTCAGCTTCCATCAGAGCGGGTTTTGCAGCCTCTAATTTCCCCTCTGCATTCGCTTTGTCTACGCTGATAGCGTCAACAAGTCTCTGTGCCTTGTCCTTCACAAACTGGACCTGTGCCTTGACTTTTTGTGCCGCCGTTGCTTGCGATTGCACTTGAAGCAATACCTCCTCCGACTTCGTGTTTGCTAGTGCTAGTTCTTTTTCCTTCTCTACCAATTCTTTGCTCAACACGTTTACGGACTCCGTGGCATCAACAAGTTTTTGCAGACCTGTGTTCATCCGTTGAGCCAAAAAGTCAATGTCCCTTCTTTTTGTTTTGTAAACTTCCATATATCCGTTAATAAACGAAAGGTAAGACTTCGGTGTCACGTGGGTTTGGCGTCTGAAGCGCTGAAAATATTCGACGCAAGCTTCGGCCACCAGATCCTACAAGCCAGTGAAAGCAAAGGTGCGATTAGAAATTAGGATTAGTGATTTCTTGAATGTTTGTGACAGATTATTTAAGCCTTTAGCCAAGCCTCTGCTTGAAACGTAAAACCTGAGTACTTGATCATCTTGTATTGGTAAAACAAAGTAAACGCGATTACCCAAACATACATCCTGAAAAGCGTACAGACTTTTAGCCTCATGTCCCTAGCATGAAAACATGCCACCAGAATATCATCACATGTGAGAAGGTTGTTGTTCTACGGCTGCCCGACAGCTAACAACTCCACTATGCAGTATGGAGTCGGCAGAACGTTTTCAGTCTCTGGCAATTTCGCAAGCGCCACGCGGTACGTTATACCTTAGTGATTTTGTGTGTTGACACAAATCAATGCTTTAGTTAGTCGTTAACCACAACGGATTTTGGAACAGATGAGTTCATTGTCACATCAAAGTGCAACGTTTGTTACGTTGCTATTTAGCACACAAATCTTAGAGGGCTAATGAGTTCCCGGTGGTGGTTTTCTTTTCTTATTGCGTGGACCGTGCCCTATTTTGAATAATCGGTGTACAGCATTGCAACGTTATGCTACAAACTACCCACTACTACTGAGGAATCCATCATAAGCACTTCAATGATACGAACGGAATGGGTGGCATCTTTTGATAGGACGTCGCATCCATGAGTAATTTAATCGTCTGGCTAAGCCGGCACACGGCTGCGCTTCGGCTAGTGGTTAATATAATGACGCTTTCCGATACAATGGAAGTTAACCAAAACAACAGTGGGATCTGTTAAAGGGTATAGAAAAACTATCGAATGACGTGGATTACACACCAGCTCTGCACCGGTGGTTCAAACTGACGCTTATCTGTCTTCTTAATTTACGAGGGGTGTTCAGAAAGAAACAGAACTTTGCTATAACAGCTATATTCATCACAGCACAACATTTTAAGCACTTATCTTTCTTTAAGTGATCCCCTCTACTGACAATCGACCGTTCCTAACGGTGCTCCCATGTTTGGGACGCCTGATGGAACGCGCTTTCTGGGATGGCGTGCAGGTCTCATGTCGCATTGCCCTGAATCTCCTCTAGGTTTGGAAACAAGACCTTTACAACGTGGTTGTAAATTTGGGAAAAAGGAGCATGTCTGTATGAGCTAGGTTCGGAGAATACGGTGAGATTAATTTTTGTATACCATATTTCGTTGCGGATGTTCTAATAATACTATCGACCTTCGATACTCGGTTTTTTTGCGATACACTATAAAATATTCGTATTGCCCTGTTGGGCTTGGAATTGTGGTGCACAGAATGGCAAATGTCCTCCTCAAGCGAGAAATGCAGTGTGTTGAGTCGCTCGTTTGAACTTTCGCCAAATACCCTTCACCTTGTTGTAAAACCTATCCCCACTAACAAGGCTGTGCATGATTTAGGCAACTGGCACTCTAGCATTCTCGTAACGGACAGATCACAAGGAAGTGCAAAGCTCATCTTAAGATCATTTGCTGTGCATTAGCCTAAACTGCTCTTGTTTAAGGCCTGAATTCACCATGTGCTAGAGTAACGCTGGATTATCCTACAAGCGGCAGGAAAAGCGACTGCATGTGCCTAGAAAATGTGCTCTCTTTAACTCATCAAAACTTAGTTACTCTAAGCGTTGTAAGATGCTACAACTAGAGCCATCGTGGCTAGGAGACATGAAGCTAGGAATAAGGTTCTTATTTGAGCTGGTCCATAAGCATGTATTCGCGCCAAATATCACTATTCCCTTCAAACAAGAAGATAGATACGCAATAATAAATACCAAGAAAAATCGTTGTCCAGAACGAAATCTACTATTCGGAAGTTTTCAGCTAAACAGATACACTGAGATCTGGAACACCGCCTATTGAATTAAGAACATGCGAATCGCAACGATTGTTTAAAAAGGCAGTTTCAAACTACCTGGTGGTGCAATACGTAAAAGCAATGTGGCAACTAAATTGCAGTGAAATAATGCTATTCAAGAATGGGGCAAAATAGAACTGTTGATTACAACGCTACATAAAATATAGTACGTGCAAGGTATTTACTTAGCAAAGCCGTAATGAAGAGATGTATCGAAAAGATAAACATTTTGACTGCACGTCCTTCACTCGTCTTTACCCGACCCTCTTTCCTTTGTTACGCGCGAAAAAATACGTCACAGATATAAGAATATGTGTGGGTTGCTGAGGAGGTGCAAACCGTGATTAAGATAACCATTGTTGTCTCCTCTTCATATTATGTTTACTCAGTCGCGCCTACCTTACAACCATATTACAAAGTGTGAGCTGAGAAGGAAACGTTGACTGTACCTATCCATCTTCATGCGCTTTTACCAATCGTTCCTCGCTTACTCGTCTATGCTTCTGTTGCCCTCATGTAAACATGTCACGCAGCAAGATGAAACTAACCAATTCTGCTCCCAACATCTTCCTCCTTATTTCTAATATTTTTCTTTAATTTTGCCTCTTATTGACTTACGCCTAGCGTACAAACAAAATGAAACGCCTGGGCCAGTTGACAAATGCCAACCACGTTCGTCTCACAAACAACAAATAAATCTCCCATTCCATCTGTGTATAGCTGCTGAAGTGAAAATGTATGCATACCTGCGTTGTCCACCAGTACCTTTTGGAACGCCACAATGTATGGAAACTGCTTAGCCCAACTTAGATGCAATCTTTCGTAAGTATGCTTTCAGCTTTAATGTTTCTGTTATCACAGCGCAATTACACTTCATCCTTTGCACAAGGAAAAGAAAATGTGGTTCCATTCTTACACGGAGATCTCCATCAGGATGCCATGACATATTCTGTGCTCATTTAAGATTTTGAACTACACAACCATAAATGTTTCAAACACGATTTCTATTTCTGCCTAACATTTGGAATATGAAGTAAATATTAAATGAAATAATTGTTACATGTTGCGCTTGCCGAAAAGGACTTATCGTAAACCCAAGAATATATACTACCATTATACGCATACTAGACCACATTTCCCACAACCTAGATTTAGGCCTAACTAGTGGGAGGCATTTTGTAATTCACTTATCCAACTTTTACTGGAGGTCAAACGATTGTTACCTCTCGGTTTACATCCGCACACAGGGTACATACTCGGTTTAGATTTTGATCTAACTGTTCACCCTAAACTTTTTAACATGCAATGTCATTTCCTTGCAATTCTGATGGAATGCTTGCAATGGGGTTAACCAAAACTTCCCTGAAATGTTCCCATTGTTCGAACTACCGCCTGTTTCACACTTGGAGTGCAAACAATATCGAATTTTGACAAGAAGTGGTCTGACACGGCAATCAAGGCATCCTTGGGCCAACGTTGAAACCAGTCCATGGTGCAGCCTGAAATAAGGCCAGGAAACTTGAGGCTGCGGTTGCGGAATTTTTGTCCGATGGGGGAGAAACAAAGAACTATGTGCAAGTTTTTTACGATTCGGCTCATGTAGTATTCTGCCAATGCCTCATTGGTAACGGCACGACGAGGAAATTCACGCTTCATTGGTCCAACCAAGTCTTGTAAAATCTCATCCATCTCATCTCGAGCAAACAAGTTGGCGATCTCCCCAGAACTGAGCATGTTGTTCAGGTATTCCAGAAACGCCTCATCTTTGATTTCATTGTCAGTGAAGATAAATGTGATGCCGGTGCCTTTCTGACCGGATGTGCGATAAAGATACTTCAAATCTTCAAGCAAGTTACTCACATTGTAGGACCTAGAGGAGAGGTTCAAAAGTAGATCCCTGTGTACAGCGCAAGTAGTGAACTCTTCACGGATGAATGTGACTCAACGCACTTATTCGCATCACTTACCTGCTCAGTGCGATCTGGAAGGTTTTATAGCCAGCAATGAATGATGCCAGTCTAGTAAGCGATTGTTTGCCCGATCCACCAACCCCAACTAGAAGTGCATGACCTTTTGGAGTTCGGATCACCCTAGTAATCTTGACCAAGTGAATGATGGCGTCTTTGAAAAATACTAGATCCAACTTCGCTCCTCGTATCGTCTCGTTGTACATTTGCATAAACATGGATAACCGGCTGTTGAGCTGCTCCAAGCTTTGTGCGGGTTCGTAGATCTTCGGTGCCTCTAACTCTGCATCGTCAGCCTCTTCTCCCGTCGCCTCAGGTGCGTCACGCAGAAAGTCAACGAAATAAGTCTCCGACCAATCATAATCTTTAATCACCTCGGGACAATCCTCGGAACCTACAAGTAAATCACAATGGGCAAATTAAGCACTTTTTAATTGCAGGTGCACGTAAAATGTCAAGAAGCCCACCATCCAAATATACTTCTGCTTGCTATCCAAATCATTTCCTGAGTGAAGGGTCACGCAAAGCATCTACCCATTCTACGACAAGTTCCCCAGCGTATGTATATGAAAAAACTAACGAGATAGATCAGGCCCACCTCTCTGTTGTACGTTGCCTTGGGACACTGTCTAGGTAATGTAACAGCGGATTAGATTGGCATCCATACACAGATACTGAGTGCTTGGTGAATGCGGATGGGACGGTTTCTGCTGAGATGATGACGCTAAGCTGTAATACTACGCCTAATACCTCTAAAGTGCATTTAGCTTGCTTGCACCAAGTGCCACCGTAGATGCAACAAGTAGAAGAACTTCCAATGACGTCGGCATCGTTTTGAGTCAAACAAATAGATGAGCAGTCGATGTGTGCGCTGGCAAGTAACGTTAGATCGGGGTTTTCACTGTAAGTGAAACCAAGGAAACAACCAGATTCAGGAAAAGGTTCATAAACGGTAGGCCGGACTTTCCTAAACATTGCACTGGGTTTAAAGGAGTGTGACTGGGCTGACAATGAGCCCAAGGCTTAAAGTTTGGATACGCAGGAAGAAAACTGTCGAAAATGCAGTAGTGAATCGAATAGTTACGTCCCTGTATGTTAGGAAATTTCGGATATAGTTGGAAAATCTATCGACACTATTTCAGTGGCAGACAAGACTATACTTGAATGGTGTCAGTAAGCAACAGTTGGGACATCATGATCACTGGGGCTTCACAAACCAGCGTCAGTGACCTGGCTTATGTATTGTTTGTTTTATATCTGTTGCTCCCAAACTCCAGTCAGACCTTAAGCGCTTCACTGATAGACTCAAATGACTTATCCGTGGAAGGATCAGTACCAAATAACTTACTGACTCGCTGAAGTAGCTTCTGGAACCAGTCACAGTCAGACTGTTCAACAAAGCGATCTGCGATCACCCGAGTGCATTCATGCTGCCACAGTGCAAGTAAGCGTTGTGGTGAGTGGATTACCTCAGCTGTGCCTTTCAACATTCCTTGCCAAATGCGGCTCACATCGCGCAAATTGAAAACATAGTGAAATTTAGCGGGAGTTGGTAACATTTTGATCTTAACCAGCTGCCACACCTTCCGGGTAAGACCAACCATCTTGTGTGCTAGCGAAACAACTTCTGGCTTGAAACCTCGTTCGATGCAGTAGTGGCCCGTGCCAAGAGTGCCGAACACCGTGTCTACCGAAGCGTTGCTAGGCAGCGTGCAGTTGAAGATGCTGAATTGACGCTTGAGGCGCTGCGGAATGTCATTGCGACCTCCGCCGGGGTGTATCATGGCGGCAACTATCTACAAGGTGGTGTCGGGAATAAAAAGTAAAATAAATACGTACTAGTAATCATTTGACAAAATGAATGGGTGATTCATTTCGTCTGGCGTGCACAAAATGCACTTGTATATGAATTCATTTGCCAAAGAAACTAGTACCCATAGTAGATTAAACATGGTAAGTATAGGTCAATAGCGCTACATCGCCCACAACTTGACCCGCATGTCTCATACTCTGCGTTGGTATAAAGGATTAAGACACAGAAGTGGGCGAAAGTGTGTCGCGATTATTCCAAAGACCATTAACCATCCACTTACACCCATGTCACCAATAGGCACGCGACTCTGGATAAAATCCCATAATTATGCAAACACTTAGATGTGAGGGCACTGCATTTCATGACGCGATGCACGTAGCTGTGAAGCCACTATACGTTACGGGGCAGATGACAGGTTCACAGTCCTCTATATAAAATGGGGGTAAGGCGGCTGCCGGAGGAAAACAATTAGCTAGCTGGGTACTAGTCTGCCCAATGACAGAGCAACTATTTGAGCGCGGTAGTGCAGTGTATGAGGACTGTGCACCCCACGTTCACTCCGTAATAACTACTATTCTCTCGGTACTAGCCATCGTAGTGGCAGTGTCTCGTAGGTAGTTGTTTTTCCACCATCAGTATTCTGCCTACAAAATCTTGACTTTTTATCCTGGATTAACCATCACGCTTGTGATAACTTATGACTAAGGAATGATTCCCATTCAACCCGACTGCGTAAGAGAAGCAAACTACCTATCACATAGATCCCAGCCCAGTTACGGAAGTCAGGTCACTGAATAATCGACAACGCTGGCGGAAGTGCATATCTGGTGACCATGCAATCCATCGGTTAGAAACTTGCAAAATGTATTCATTCCGAAATAAGACACCTGCGAATCGGAAGAGAGTTGGACATTCAGTGAAAATTGTGATCTGTGTGAGTAATCTCTTTATCCATTAGGTGAGCTAAACTACGCATGCAGTGATCATCTGTGAGATAATCGTTATTTTAGAGAAACCGCCGAATGTGTACGTTAGCAGTATGCTAAATGTAGAATTTACCTTAAAGCCCAATCAAGTATACAATGACTAGGGGAGGATTATTCTTAGTAAATCAATCGCTGCCAACGTATCTTAGCGACGAAGGAGGGAACTTGTCCTTCGGCTTGATCCACCAAGTGTTTTTATAAGCCTGCTGGTTACATCAATTCGACATGGTGTGTCGGTGCATTTAGATGTGTGGGGATACAGGTCAGCAACTATAGATCAGCTAGCCTGTGTGAGATATTCGCTAATCTTGTGAGAACTCGATGCGTGGAGTTGTCGGATTGCGGGTCCATCTCATGTCTGGTGCCAGCTAGCCCATATATTATCTATGCCCCATGCTCGTGTTCAACTCCGAACTCTAACGCATACAGACGTCCCGGTTTGTGCGCGGTGTGTGTTCCAAATCCTGAATGCGTGGATGGTCAAGTCACTGCAGACGCAGGTGTTTACACTCCTAGCGCACACGCTCCGGCTTCTGACTGAGTAAGTAACTACATTTCTGCCACCCAAGGAGTTTCAGTGTTTGGTGAGAGTGGTCCGATTTCAACCCTATCACTTCAAGTAAACTATGGAGTAAAATATCAGTCAGTGACTCAAAGATGATTAATGCGATCACCATTTTGTATCACACGGACGAAATGAATGGAGTAGAAAGCAGCCTCTAGTCGTCATCAATGGACTTAGAAAACGGGCGAATTGAATAGGGCTGGCGTACTACTAAACTAATGTGAGTATATCGACAGGTGGGTCTAGCGAAACTGTGAAAGCGTAGATAATACTCGGTAAGAGCAACTGTCGCTTATTGCTTGATACACGGATGCATTTCGGAAAACCAAATAATGGACGTACTTCTGGCATGGGGATACTGAGACTGTAGTTCCCTTTCGTGTCATATTGTACATTTGCAGGGTGATCTACCATACATCTCTGTCGCTTATCATTGGGAATATTTGTCGACGGACAGTCTAGTTTTAGGCGTTTGAAACTCAACACGTTACAACACAAGGCATTGCTAAAGCAGCAAGCTGACGGATAATGTAGCTTTTACTTAGTGTTTGTGTTTTGTCTGTAGCTGTTGCTACTGAAGTGTGCCATAATGAAGTTTTGGTCATGGGAGCATAAAAACGCATTATTGACCGGACTCGACTGGTCCATACATATTCAGCTTCATTAAGAAATGTCGCACTTTTCCACAGTCACCAGGAGTATAACAACAATAATCGTAAATGCTACTTCGCTACCGTACAGCCAGATTTGCCTAGCGAACGAAGAATAATATGAGAGGAAAAGGGACTTAGTTAGTACACCACATGAGCTAAGTAAACATTCATGTTCAAGAGGCCTACACCTTGTCAACAGCATACTGGCACAAACAGCTGACCATCGTGCAAAGATAAGGCGACAGTGATGAGACAGTATTCTTGCTGCTACCCAGCGTCCTCATCAGCCTCACCTAATAGATGGTTCGGTATCAGACGTGCCTTAAACCGACGACGACGACAACAAACACCACTGATGCAGACTGCGAGTCAGGTGATGCAAAGTTTTGAGCTAAGCCCAAGGTGGGCTAAGTGAATTACACAATCCGGAAGGGGATATGGTCAGACAGACAGATAGTGTAGACTTCAGGGACATTGAGCCATCCCATATCCGGAAAGTCAAATGAGGCCATCCTGCGTAAGTGGTAGCTTGGCATGTGTTGCATGTGCCCGGTGTAAAGCATACAATTCGTTCATAGATATTAGAAGACAAATTGTGAAATGAATCTATCATTCCGTGCATCTACTTTAAGCAAGAGCATGAAATCAACAAACATCACACGAAATAGATTGGTGGCCGGCCGAAGTCTAATTGATGCACTCCACGCTTCCATTGGAAACAGTGTTACTGGTGGCTTTTTATGGACATGGAGTAGCTGATGATCTCAATTGATAACACAATGATGTTAGGGTGTCTGATAATGTGAGGCGTTTGGTCGCGCATGCAAAATTTGTATGATGTAATCAGGTAACCTGGTGGCCTGTGTTACATTAAAGCCTGTTGATGATTGCTTAGCAGCCTTGCTTCCAGATATCCACGACACAAACGTTGTATGTTTTAGCCGTTTACAAATCCAGGTTAAGATCTGTTCGTCGGTTCGGACACCTAACTTTCGATCAGTGCGCTTGATAAAGCTGTCTCCAGAGACGGAACAATAGGGCGACGGTGTGTGATCGATAATAAGGCAAGCATTCATCAATTCCCATGGGTTGGTTTGCGTAAACATACAATATGAAAACACAGTGTGGCTAACACAGTCGACTGTTGCTAAACCCACCAAGAAGTTTACAGTAGCGCAGATATAACTATTCCTGTCTGGAATTCAAGGGAAGTATGTTGAGGGTACCGTTTGTTCTGAGCTAACGCCGTCACTAAGTGGTTACGGGCTATATCACGTAATTCATGAGTGTCAGTGTCATCTAACCTGCTTTTGAATTCTGATAAGGTAGGAACATAGACTACATGCATTGAAAGTGAGTTGAAATGTTGAAATTTGGAAAGGAAAATTTCGGCGACATTTCAGTTGGCTGTATCGCATGGAAACCTTACACTGACGGCTCCTCAGGTATGCGTTAAGTCTGAGTTTCAAAAGATCTGTGGTAAGGGTGGCTTGGGTGTGTTAGAGTCTGATATGCCACTACGAGAATGCTCCGTGGAATCTGATAAAGTTCACGGTTCAGTGCACGCTGATAGGGGTGGGACCTACTTATGTCGCTCTCTACAACCCCGTGTTGTGCAACTCTCGACCACAATGAGATGGCGCTTCTGCAGGGCTGCCAGGCTTGCAATCTGTGTTCCACGTGCGGCCTCAGATACGCACCAAGCGATGGTGGGAAAAGTGAAGACCGGAATTTTCCGAACGTCCATCGTAAGAAGACAAAAAGCTGATTTGCTTTCCTTGACGCTCCTTCAGCTTGTGTCAAACAGCCAAGGTCTTCCTTCACAGGCACTCAGAGATTCTACTCATAGGAAGCGCGCTGCAGACTTCGTGGCCCTAGCCGGTTGTCGTCAATGTTTTGATAGCACATGATCAGCATTTTACTTTCGGCAACGTTGAACTGGAGCATGTTCTAGTTCTACCACATTTAACTTCTATCCAGATCACTTTGCAGTACTGTGTGATCTTCCATTGCAACGGCAGTCCACCATATCTGCAGGTCATATACGAAGAGTGTAAAATCTGCAGAGAACGCTCTCGACAGATCGGTTATGAAGACCGAGAACAGGCTTAGTCGGAGTACTGAGCATAGAGGCGCAACAAAACATGACTTCGATTTGGTCGGGTGGAGTGCTGCAAACCCTTGCGCTTAGATGAAGTCTAATGACAAAGTTGCCTATCTCTTGCACGAACGCGGCAGGTAAATAGACACTGCCGTATCGTGCACACGCGGTTAATGCATAATCCGTTTGATCAAATGCACTTTTATCCACAAGTCACATGTTTTCCTGATGGACATTGGCTTCTGACAGCCCATCATAACATTATCCAGCCAAGAATGGGATCACCGATTTCGTAATCCTGTGGATAGTGGAGTAGGATGTGATGGACCACATTGTTGTGTCTTTGCGGAATCCAAATAGATAGCTTCTACTCCTATGTAAGCAACGACATATTTCTTCCAGCATTCACGGCCTATCAGCAGGCTTGCGGTGTGTAGCCGATTCTGGCGAAGCCCGTGCTGCTACGGAGCAAGAAGTTTGGTACTCTCCAGCTACCCGATGAGTGCTCAGCGATAATGGACTCCATAACCTTGGAGCTCGCCAAAAGTAGTGTTATTAGGCGATAATTTTGAGGCTCCGCACCACTGTCACTTATGTAAAATGGAGTGGCTTGCTCGTGCTCCCACAAAGTGGGAATTAGTATTTCATCAAAACATCGTTGGATGAACCTGGCCAATG